TATTCTTCAATGATTGAGATTCAAGAAAAGTTTGACCTGATCTTGGTCAAACAAGTCAAGATGGCTTCGTTCTCAGATTATTTGTGCCATGAATTCTTAAATCATTAAGTAATCAAGATCAGAGTTTGTGCAAGTCCAAATCCATCTGATAAAATCAAGGACTGAGTATTCAAAAGTCAGGACATTCTAGTTTATTCTAAGTCATCTGCAAGTCATGATTATGAGGTTCAAATTCTGATCATTGGTTCAAGACAAATTCGAGCAGGCCATTTATTCGGGTTAATTTCAAGTTTGATCGGAGGCAAAATTTAATTCAAGAATTTTAGAAAATTATTACAAGACGTGGCTCACTTTTAGCCAAAGTCGGGATTTAATTCCAAAATTCTGATCAAGATTCAATAATTGGTTCATTCAAGTTCAATTTCAAAATCTTGGTTTGGTTCAATTTTAGAAGGTGCAAGAAGAATTATTCAAGCTCATTACCATTCTCAACCATTATCCATATTTTGATCCATTTTTCTAAGTATCCACATTTATCATATTCATTTCAAATCAATTTCCACATTCTAAATCATTATCTTCTTTTTATATCCAAATTCTCATTTGAAACTATTTTTCCAAATATCTGTTTTCCAATCCAATTTCGTAACCTTTTTTTATCTAGCCATATCAATTATAATTTCCAATTCATTATCGATATTCAAAAACAAATAACCACTTTTCATATCCAAATATCCATATTACATTGCAAATATCCATTAACTATCCATTTTCCACCAACTATCCAATTCTATGTCAATTATCTAAATAATTCAATTTTTTTTCTTCTCTTAATCCACTTTTAATATCCATTATATTATCCATCCAAAATACATACTACAAGTCAAAGTCCAATTCAAATGATACCAAACCCATTTCAATAAGAAAAAAAACTTCATGAAAGTTAATACATAAAAAATCTAATGAATCAATACAACTTCATATCCAAGCCTCACGAGCTACCTGCCAAACTATTTGCAGCTTTCACAATTCAAGCTGCTAACCACATGAGCTCCGCACGGGTCCACACGAGCCAAATTACAAGCTGCTACATATTACACTACACAAGTTACATTCCAAAGCAAGCTGCTATTGCAATTACACATGAAAACTACAAGCTACTTCAGTCGCGCAAGCTACAACCCAAGTCGCGCCTTTCACAAGTTATTCAAGCTGCAAACAAATTGAAATCACAAAACTACATCACAATGATAAATAACTGCATGAAATACGTGACAACTTGATTAATTCAAAACGACATCATGAGCCACAGTATTGATTCAAAACGCAAGAGTAAATGTAAAACGGCAGAAAACTCACCATAACTTTCATTCAAATCTTCTCTATAAATAAGAAGCTTTATTTCTTCATTCATCAAGCTTGAATTAGCCAAGAAAGTTATGCAAAATTCTCTCTAAATATTCACTCCAAAATTCATCTTCAAGTTTCAACTCTCCAATTCACCTTTCATAAACCTTCAACTCAATTCTTTAATTACCTTCCTTCAAATTTCCTCAAACCTTTATCACTTCCAAATTCATATTTCAAGCTTCATATTAAACAACCTTCCAACTCAATCTTCTTTCACTTTCATCAAAGTTTCAACTCCAAAATTCAAATTCACCACCAACAACAAATTTCAACGCAAATCAACAACCATTCTTTAGAAAGAAGAAGAGGAAGAAGAATCGAAGTGTTGCTCACCTTGAATTAAAGGTAATTTGGAGTTTTCTATCGAGACTTTGCGGTTTTGATTCGGTTGATCCAAACACCGTTACACGAAATTGATAGCACATTTGAGATCTATGCTTGATTTCGATCGCAACCGACTCATTTTTGAGCTTCGTCGCTCCGACATGGAGGAACTCCATTTTTCTTGGCTCTTGATGAATAGTGACAGAACGTTTCAAGGAAGAGAAGAAGATGATGTTCCAAATCTGTTTTTTTCTTCTTCTTTTTGTATTTTTTAAATTGCATTTCACTTATAATGTTTTGGACATGGGCCTAGCACATGATATGATTTACTAGTCCATTACCTCTCATTTTCTAATTAACCTGCCATTCCATTTTTTAAAGAAAATATTTCTATTAATTTCTTTTTTTTAATTTCAAATTTTACTTTTATAATTTTTTTTTCTAATTCTTTTTCATGATTCTTGTTTTGAAAATTTTTTTCTCTTGATTTTAATTTTGTTAGCTTTTTCTTTGATTTTGATATTTTAGTTTAAATTTTCTTTTAAATTCATGTGTTCTTGATTCTTCTTATATTTTCCTTATTTTTTGTTGATTTATTTTTGGTTGTTGGTTGAATCTTAAATTTTGAACATGATCTTGTTAATCTCAATGGACCATGGACATCGATAGGAGAAATTCCGAATCCGCCAAGAGATTTAATGAGGATTTAATCGAATTAAGATTCATTTTGGTTCTCTTTCTTCTTCTTCTTTTTCTTTTGATCGATGAAATCTATGGATCATGGATTGTTGATTGTCAAGGTTGTTTAATCTTCATTATATCATTGAGATAATTCTCCGTACTTTGGAATAGTGATAGATTACCTTTGATTAATTGATAAAAATCTTGATTAAGATGAGATCACCACCTTCTTTTCTTTTCGTGCGGTATTGATTTCGGAGATGATTTACATATCAATTCTCTAGCATGCATTGTCACTAACATTGTTATTGACCGACCTCAGATAGTCGTGGTTTCTACATAAACCCGATTACAATTGCTTAACATAATGCTAAAGTGTTATGTAATCGGAAAATGATCATTCGTGGCTCAAACTTATGTTTGAAAGTCCAAGTATGGTTTATTACTTGTCTTATGTCCATTACCTATGAAACTTGTTGTTAGGAGGCTTTGATTTTATCAATCATCTAATGAGTTTTCATTAACCGTGGTCTAAGTGCATGAATTAACCATCGTTGATCATTTATTCTAATAACTAATCACTAACTCACTAATAATATCTTTATATTAATTTTGTTTATGTTTCCTTCTTGCTCCCTATCTCCTTTATTCTTATACTCCATTATGATTATTTCATATCATATCTTTGTTTATGTCATTTTTCTTTTGTCCACTTGGACCATATCTTATTCAAAACACTAATAAAGAATTAAAACTTCTAAAAAACTTGGTGCTCTTAATTTTGTGGTTGTGCTCTTGGATCATTCTTGGACCCTTGGACTTAGATTTAAGACTTTGCCCTTATGCTTGGAGTATTGTGGATCTTGACCTTTATTTGCCTCGCTCATTAGCTTATGCTTTAAATCGGATGAAATTCTTATTTCGCTAATTATGAAGTGTGCTACAATTTGGTTAGATCCTTCTTATCTCTAGCTTCTTTTTTTTCTTTTTAAGGTAGTCACTTCATCTTCTCCCCTTCTTAAATTTTCAGAACCTTCTCACTCTTTCAAAACCTTCTTGGTTTCAAACTTCAAATCGCTTTCACAATAAAACCTTGACTTTTTTCCAGTGATTTTTAAACTTTGTTTTATTAATAAATATCAATCAATGTTAATCATATTTTGACAAATTTAAAAAAGATATAAAAAAGCACTCCACCTCATTCAAATTTTTTGTGTCTTTGTGCACTTTTCATAAAAGTTTAGACATGAGTCATTTTCATAGTTTAGATATAATTCTCCTATTCCCCATAGTATTAAGATGTTGACATTTTCCACTTAGATGTTGAGTGATAGACTTCTTGATAATCCAAGCAAAATCCTCCATCTTTAGGTGATGCAAATGTTGTCTTAACACTTGTGGGTAACATAGTTTTCTCCTTAAAATTACGACTTGTCTTTACATTTAAAATTAATCAAAACCAACAAATTTTTATTATTTGTACCACGAACTACGGGGTTTTAATCATATATTGCAGTTTGTGGATACGTAGGCATGAGGCGATAAGTCTCTTCAAACACAAAAATCTAAAAAAATGATTCTCTTCTCATCTCCCCAATCTCTTTTCAAATAAACAATTTTCAAATAAGAAAGCGTAGATATTTCGAAGGCGATAAGTCTCTTCAAACACAAAAATCTAAAAAAATGATTCTCTTCTCATCTCCCCAATCTCTTTTCAAATAAACAATTTTCAAATAAAAAAGCGTAGATATTTCGAAAGGCTCCTATAGAGTACTATAGACGTTTTAGGTGCTAACACCTTCTCATTGCATAGCCAACCCCCTTACCCGGATCTCTGTTCTTGTTTTATAACTCTTAGATTTTGTTCGCTCTTTTTCCATTTGTTTTAGGATAAAATAAAAGTGCGGTGGCGACTCTTGTATTTTGAGTTAAGTTAATCAATAGTTTACACTCACGATTTTACCGCTACATTAGACCAATAACAAAATTAAAAAATATATATTTTATATTTTTATTCAAACATAAAGCTAATCCAACACTAGTATCCCTCCCATTTAAAGGTTGAGTAATCCAACATTAATGTGTCAAATTCTATAGAAGGCAAATCCATTGGTCGACAAATGTGGTTAAGATGTTAATTTAGACGCATCTTAGTGATATAGCAAATAATTCTCAACAATATCGATATATATTGAAGAATTGTTTGTTATACAGAGTTTAATTTTCATTGTGAACGCATGCAGATCGATGGATTTGCCTTCTAATTATCTGTCAAATTATAAAAGAAACCATAATTCTATCCCATGGAAGAAAAAAACCATATGGCATTGTTATCATGATACAAAAACAAATGAAATGTGTATATACTCACAAGTCAATAAGCCCCTAAACCCAAGAACCTATATCCTTTTCTATCAACATGATACAATTTTTTCTGTTGGCCATTCCAATCCATGCAATCGAGGAGGGTTCGATTAGCCGATGAAATTATGAGCACATCTTCCTCAGAGTCAACAGTGAGTCATATATCTAACCGATAAACACCCATTTGTTCCTAAATAATGCGTCAGACAGATGGAAGAAGACTACGATTTACCGCTCTCAAAGCTCGATAGATAAGAGTCTGATAAAACAGTGAATAGCTGTGTATCTACAAAAAGCTGCAAAGCCAAGGACTCGTGAACTTAGATTGCAACATTCAATGCTATGTAGAGCGAAATTTTCCTGTGAGTTGTTACCTTAATGAATGGCTGGTCCCTAAGAGGAAAGGAGTCAATGAAGGTATCTTTAAGAAGTAAAGAAACCTGAGAAAAAAGAAATCAAGGATGAGCTAGGAAAAAGGGGCCAAACTACTCATTCTTATTTATTTGAAACTATATAGAAATAGAAATCATAACAATAACATAGTTACATTACCCTGTCGTTATTTGATTGCACACTAGTTATCGTATGTGATTTCAAATTCGAACAAAGTGACTCCAAATAGTGCCACACGATATTCAAAAACTTCGTTGCAATTTCAGCCTGCAACAAGTACGAGTTAGTAGATGCCACCACTAGTGGAGGAAATATTAGAGGCTAGAAGCTGAAAACTACTGGTTTTTATATGCATGAATCATATATAGATAAAATAAACATTATATTTCTGAATTTGAGAGAGAGGGAGAGAAAGAGAGGAGAATTCCAGTATAGGAACTAAAAGAACCTGGATTTCATTGCACCTATGTATAGGATGCTTTTTTGCAATTGAACTTTCCCTCGAAAGTCTGGCATGAATTGGATTCAACTGAGAAACAAGATCTCTTTGCCGTGGAAGTCTAGGCAAATGACACATTTTAACCTGCAAACAGAAAAAAATAGAAAAATAGAAAGTAAATGTTGCAAGTTTACAAAATGACTCCATTTTTCTCGTCGGCCATGTTATCTTTAAAATGTCATTACAAACCTGATTTTGCATTACATCAACTTCAACAAGATTACAAGTTTTAATATACAAATCATCTGGTTTATGTTGTATGCCAACCTGCAAAAACATTGGAAAATTGAATAAACGACGAGTATATTCTTAAATACTAAAAACACATGTTGTCAGCCAATAAAAATTTCCAGAAACAGAGAATAAATAAAGTTTTTTCTCTTTGAAATTATACTTCATGTAGGAGAATTTTACACAATTTACTTTACGGATAGCATTTTACTGATCCAACCTTATTTTTCTCTCTGTATCTCTCTCTCCTCTCCTATTTTTCATTGTATTTTTTCTTTCAAATTTTACAAAAATTTAGAGAAAGAGAAGGCATAACTTCAACATTCAAATAAAGTGGTATAAAAGAGCACAGTATCATCTGATACATCTTTGGAATGTCTTACCAACTAAAGATAACTGGCATCTAAATACGAAACATAATTCAATTCGTTTTACCAACTAAAGACTTGAAGTTCTATGTTTTTGTGTGACACATTCATTGTAGGAATAATATAACTACACATACTAGTTATAATCACAAGTATCAGTTGTTTTCGTAAACTGTGATCATCATATACTGACTAGTGATATGTTTCTGTATCCATGAGCAATTAGTGATGTGAATGTCTCAGATTTTGTGTGTACATAAATATTGTGTTGTTCCTTGATTTTAAATTCTTTCATAAATTTTCATATCCATGTCTCTTTGTCATATCATACCACAACTACTTCAGTACTATATATGCACGCTTCTTATTAAAACTCATATCGGTAAAAGCAACTAAGACATTTATTGAAAGAAAAAAAGATATATATGCTAGTAACACTGTTATGAAGTAATTTTCATGTGGACATGAATTTCAAACAGCAGTGATAAATACTAAAAATATAACAGGAAACAACATATTTTATAGAACGACAAAGAAAAGGAAACTCACAATATATGGAACTGGGGCGTCAAGAAAATCAATCATTTTTGCTGGCAAAACCTGAAAAGCATGGCCAACATATTGTTAGACTTATGTGGTAAAGCCCTTAGGAAAATCTGCAACCAGAGCCTTTTTGAATCCACTGACTCACCGGGAGCAGTAAACTCTGCCACTGAAATGGACGAATCATGGGTATAAGAGAAAGCACTACTGCAGATAGAACACCCTGCATTGTGTCAAAAATTGCCAAAATGAAATGCTCTCTAAAGCAATCCAAATTAATCCGCATTAACAAATAATGACCGTTGATTAGTATCATTGTTTCAAGAACTTACCAAATTTGGGCACACTATTACAACCTGTTTTTCCAGTAACACTCCCGTAACTAATGCCAGCAACTGCAATTAACATGTATAAAAAAATTTAATCAATCAATCAAGTACCGTTACAGTTGATACAGCAAATTGAATGAGTCACACATGGTTGAACTTCAATTGGAATATGTGCTTACACTATCAAGGGATAGAACTCGACAAGCAGTTGACATTGTCCATACTGATAATGAAAGGGCTTCCTCAGCAGCTGCCATTTTTGCATTGACCTTTTACAAAAGTAGTGCTGTAAAGAATGCACATATCTGAGGATAAACATTTTGTTAAAAATGACGTAAGAATTACCTCAGCTGGTTCAGAACAATCTAAACAATTTTCTTCGAAGCCAAGAGAAACAACTGAATGCCGTATATATTGAATAGCTTGTAAATGTTCAAGAGGGTGGAAGACAAATTCACTTCCTCGAGGTGGAATAGCTAGCGCATGATATCTGCACACTATTTGTAGTAAATCATTCTTACGGTCCTATCAAAGCCATTCACACCAAAGAAAACATGTTAAATGCTAATCCAGCATCACCTAAATCTAATTAATGCAAAAGAAAATGGAAAACTATTTTTCACTAACCATAGCCCATTCCATCAAGAATTCACCCCCGTTATCGATTTCATTGTTTGAAAAAGGAGGACCCTCATCTTCGGACACAATGCTTCTAACTGGACTGCCAATGAAAACAACATAATATTGAAATTGAACATCAAATGTCAGATAAAAAAACGATAAAAAAGAATATAGGTGAATGAACTATTTATCATTTCTGAATTTTTTTTGTAAAGAAACAAAACTATTACCAGAGACATATCTCATAAGCATAAATCAAAAGAAAAAGATTGTGATTATGATGATAGTGTATCAAAAGTTAAATTAAAACCTAGAATAATATAAATCACAAATCTACCACCTAACAAGTGACTCAGAACTTCCAAGACGTTCCAAGGTGCGGCCCTGAGCAGATACAGGTGTTCCAACACTGGGAGAAACTTGGCCACCTTCACAATTTCCATGCATTCTTTCCCCAGAATCGTGAGTTTCTGGTCCTTCGAAAGCACTTGTATCGTGATCTTGAAAATTCTTCTTGCCATCCTTATCTATATCCCTATACTGACAACAATCCGAGGCATCACTGGCAGTCGCACTAACGGGGGATTGACAGCGAGAATCCCATATTTTGGGTGATAACTGTGGGATTTCATCATCAGATATAAGTCCAGCAGCAGCAGCGGTAATGACTGCTGCACCATCAAGAGGTATTGCACAAGCCATCCAGTCACTAGATGACTCCCTCTCTGGGGAGTGAGTACATGAACTCAATTGGTCATCTAGTTTGGGCGTTGATGGAATGCTACAAGAGAGAGTAATCTCATTTACAAACTGAGTAATCCGGTTCAGACGCTCCTGTGCAATAAGACTGCATCCAAGTAAGACATAATAAATGCTATTGGAACTAGGAAAAACCAAAGTGCAATAAGCATGGCGTCGACTCAATGAAAAGAACTAACCTGTTTAACATCTCAAAGTGTAACTCAAAGAAAGGAACTTTAGTCAGAAGACAGTAACAGCGAGGCGCGGAAACCAAAAAACGGCTGTTTAACCCAGATGGAAAAGAAAGAGGAGATGATGTGCCTAAAATACCAGGGGGCCTCTGAACAATTTCAGGCACATGTAAGCAAACACCATAAAGTGTTGTACTGTCTGCTGCCTGATCAAGGTGCACATATTATGATTCAGCAATTGCCAATATTTATTTCACACTGCTATTCATTACAGGAAATAAATAAGGAAAAACTGGAAATGTAATCCACAACAATATGTGTTGAATCATGAATGCTCTACACATGTCTACGTCTCATCCTTGTTTCAAGCTCAATGAGCTTGTCCATAAGGAAGGGTGTCGCAAATTAAAAGTTTATTCTTGGTTCTCCAGTTCTCACTGGCAGCTTGAGTTGTAATATTACTATTTTGAACTGTGTGTGTTTCTTTGCTAACAATATCAAGCTAACACTTAGAGTTGATAGAAGATGCCAATACAAAAGTTACCTTGAGTGTAAAGACAAACGATAAATCATCTCTTCCCAAATGCTCCTGTGGAGAATAAACAAAAAGAAAATTATTATCTTTGGCCTCAAAGGTGCTGAGCGAATGAGCGCTCAATCAAATGTTAATTAGAAGATAAAAATTGGATTGACTCGTGCTACTTTTAAACAAAAATGAAATATGAAGAAATGTAAAACCTTTGAAAATTTCTCTACATATCCATGCCTTAGTAAAACATGGTATTAAATTACATGTGTATAGTATGAAATTACCATCTAAAACGTTGTATTTGAAAAATCAAAGACGATAAATTTCTTTAACTAGCTCATCAAGAGAAAAAGTATGTCTTTCAAAAGGATACTTATCTGCTTACCTGTCCATAGACTAGCTCGTTTAGTTCACTTAGAGATGGAGTCCTCTCCAACAACCCTGCCTGCAAATCAATATCAGTATTTTAACAATGTAACAATTTGTGGTGAAAATAGCAGCAGATTTCATAACATAAATAAATATATGGTTTACGAGAAGTGTTATTTTCATCTTACTAAACAGAATGCCAAATTCTACCCAAAAAATATGTCAAGCTTAGGTTTTAATAGACATCATAAAAGAGGAAAGCTAGTAAACAGGTTCTAAGGTAGCATGTAGCAAATAAAGGACAGATCTGATCAAATATATAAAAAGTGTGAAACAGACCTTAACACCTCCAGGGAAGCAAAAGGAGGCTAACTCTTTCAAACGCACTGTCAACCTCTTTGCAGAAGGATATATGAACAGTATCTATAAGTTTACAAAAAATGTATTAGCTATAAGAAACCTATTAATCCATAACAATACACTAATGGGACATCTGAAAAAGCTTATTTGAGTTTATCTCACGATGATATAAAAGAGCCTGAAAAATAGCTTATAACATATGCCTATAAGTTGTTTTTGACATATTCTAATGAGCTCCTTATGATAGATTATCTGAACAAATTACTTTATGCTTAGCCAAATATAAATACTTCGATAAATTTTAAGCACCCACGACATAAGTTTGCATGTGATAACCACTCACTGAATAAACATTTAATTAATTTGTTTACCCAAACACCCCTAAATTGTAAACATATTTGTTAGCAAAGATTTTTGCATGAGATTGGCAGATTCCAGACTTAAATAATTCCTTTGAACCATCAAAATATGAATGCAATATTCCAAATATATTTGCTAAATGTGGTGAAATTGATCATTGAATTCTTAAAAGAACCAGAAAACAGATATGCGTAATGACTATAAGGCTATAACACTCAATATCTTTTACAGGGTTCAAGAAATCAACCTTAAAAATTTATCAACAAATAATCAAATACAAATTTTAATTGAATTTTTCCATATCTATTATGCAGAGAAACTTGAGAAGTAGGTAATCCCTTTTATTCTTGGTTTCCTTTGATTACTTCTGCTTTGGAGGATATCTTATCCTCCTTTAGTTGTGCTTTCTTCTGTTTATAACAAAATTTCCTTTTCTCTCAATTCTCTCAAATATATGTCTATTAAAGAGACTGATATCTAACAAACCTGAGGTTCCAAAGTTGGTTCTGGCGGCCTTTGTTGCTGCGGCAATCTGTAGTCTAGATATTCATCGTTTTTCGTCTCTCTTTCCCATTTCTTCCTTCTTGCAAATGCTTGTTCCACGACTTCCAAATTAGCATCTGGATGCAGCCCCACAACCACAAAATGTTCAAAGAACGAGGTTGGCTCCTTATAATTTATACAATCCTACAGTAATATTCAGTGACTTGCTTCAACAGAGTGATAAGTTCACGTTTCTGATAAACATGTTTAGGGGACACAAAGTCACCTCCTAAAAGCTAGTTCAAAAATGCATGAATGCTAATGCTACTTAGTCTACAAGAAGGACTTTCCAAATAAATCTAAGCGTTAGACAATACAAACATTACTCATCTACCTGTATGACACAGATAACTATATGAATATTCTATATAAGAACAGTCTGCGCAATACAGTTGTACAAAATCAAATATAAACTAAAAATCCATTACTATTTAGAGAGAAAGATTTTCAAAACAAATATAGTACATATAACTGATTCTAAAAATTGAATACCATAGATTTGGGATGAAGCTGATACCACTGACGTTTCTGGTTCGCCATGACCTCGGGATTGAAACTCTCGGGTAAACCTTCTTCCCTTGGTTTTCCACCCCACCATGCCTTATGCACATGAGCTTTTAACTTCTGAAAACTATTACTACGTTGAAAACCTTTAGTCACAAGTTCACTCTGACTTCGCCTATGTGCAACACTAGGCCCTACTTGTGGCACGTTTGACCCACCACCAGAGTACATATTTTGCAATGCTTCCCCAGCAACTCTAAAGGCTCCTTCAGATATCTGTTGTAGAACCCACATTGGAGATGTGGGTCTATCCTCATTAGGTTCCGCTTCTTCTTTTGCATCCATGTTTTGTACACCTATCTCATGCTCATTGCTCATGCAATCAACACAAGAATCAAATAAATGCACCCCTTTTGATCATTGCAGAACCGAATTCCAAACCATTACATTGAACCCTTTTGATTATTTCTGTGAATGAGAAGACCCTAGATGGAAATTATCATCAAAGGTCCTCTTTTTTCATACGTTACTGAAATCCCAATTAACACTTGATACGTGATTTAACGTTGGTGTGATTCCTCAGATGGAATAATAAAAGGGAGCAATGCGATTCTGAAAAGAAGAGAGAATAAAAGAGGAGAAAAAGAAAAATTGAAATTATGAGAATGTGTAGCGAATGTTACTTGTAACGGAAACAAGAGTTAAATGCATGGAAATTCAAAAGGTAAAAAAAATGAAAATGAAAAAAACGACATTGGAGGGGTTGTAATGAGAAAAACGGACGTGGTTTGTATTTGGTGGTTGTCATGGGTTTGTCATTGTTGATGACAGAACAGAGCGAGAGAGAAGGGGGAGAAGAAGGAAAAGTTGCTAAATATAGAAATGGAAAAAGGAACAAGAAAATAAATGTGTGAAAATTTAGAAGTTTCGACAAAAACAAAGATACGAGAGTAGTGTTGGGCGGGTCTTGTTCTTTTGAGTGTGAGAGTTTAAGAAATTAAAAAAAGAAAAGAGAAATTCACATAATAGTTAAATAAATCACCCATTTGTTTTTGAGAATTGTTATGAAATAACACTCTATTTAAAACTCTCTCAAACAAGTTTTCACTCTTATGATTAAAGAAAAAAATTCATTTATGATTTAGTAGTGCATTCTTACAATATATTAGTCTAATTAAAGATATATAACGTATTATAAGATATGATGTGTTTATAAATATAAATATATTGTAATATAAAATATGGTGTCTATAAGTGTGTTTATAAATATAACTATTATAGCGAATTAATAATCAATTATTCACGAATTCAGATAATGTTAACCACACTATAAGTAGATGAGTTTGTGTTCTTCCTAAGACCTTTGTTTGTTCATAGCTAGTAATGTAAGCAAAGGAATCACTCGTTGCAATTTATATGGATTAAGTAGAGGTGGTGTTGTTCATGATATGTTCGTGATTAACATATTTTGACGATCAAAGGTTATGCACTATAAAAAGTAGTCAATCAATCAATCTTTGACCCATGGTCATCGTAAGGATTTGTCGTAAGGGAAATACTTTTGTATTTTATTTGTCACGTTTATGTCAATTTTCTTTTAGTTTGATAAATTATTAATCACAACTTTCACACACACGCAGAAAAAAAAAGAGATAAATAGATAGAGAGATGCAACACCTCACTTGTCTAAAACACAAATAAAAGTTTCAAAGTTACTAGTATACTAAAAATGGTCTTTGAAATTATCTTAGTATAGTGACCTCATAATAAATTTTAAAATAAAAGAAAATAAAGTATATAGATAAAATTACAGGATAAACAATCGTATTTTAATTAAAATACAAAATAAAAGTACAATGTTTTTCGTGATAAGGTTTCTTATTTGAACAAAATAGATAAATAAAAGGTGGGAAGATAACTACATTTACCAATGGAGTTTCAAGTAAAGGATTTTAACTTTAAATTATTTAAATTTATTAAAAAGACATCAATTTGCACAATAAATTTTATTTTATTGCTTAAACACTCGAACGTGAAAATAATCCAATGATCTCTACCCAAGTTAAATAAAAAACCACAAAACTTAGAGAACTTCTTTCCCTATCTCTCATAATGCAAAACCCTTGTTTTTTAAGACAAACATTTTGATCTGAGTTTCATGAGAAGTTGTGTATTTCGTTCTGCTCGCTCAATCAATAGTGCCTCTTATGTTAGTTGGCTGGATAGGGTTCAACAAAAGAAGGAAAGAACATGGAAAGACCAGTGTATATTTTATTTGATACAACTCTCACGAGTTAGCTATAAGTATAACCCTCATACATTGGTTGCTTTTATTTTCCATTAGGAAACCTCGACCAACATGTTTCATCTACCATGTGGGATGGTTACCCCTACGTCATTTGACCTAGCAGTAATTGTTAGCCTTTGACCAACTGGAGAAACCTTCGACCCCACTGCAAAAACCAAAACTAAACCTAACTTCACCTTCTCACATGCTAGTTTTCGTGCTTTCATCAAAGATCATACCGACAACATCAATGCTCAAGAACATATAACATTCCTTACCATTTGATTATCCCACTTTTTTTCTACTCTCGTTCTCTTCAAGTAGCCAAGAAATTTATTCCTCTGGCTACCCAGCTTCATGAGAAAAGAGATATTTTCCTGAGCTAATAGATTTTGGGGAACCTATATGAATCCTTAGGGACTTCCTCTCGTGACCTCATGGCAAGGGGAGATTCTAAGGAAAAATTTATGGTTTCTAACCCCGACTGGCTTTTACAACTGTGGCTCAATGCCACCTTCGAACCCTCTCTCAGTGTTAATGTCTCACCTGATCTAGAGAGGAGAGTCGACGGTCTAAGGCTTGTATGGTCATGCAGATGATGGCAACACTCTATTAAAAGAATTCTTCAAAAATTACTTATTCTTGTTCCACCACTACAAATTATTTATCTCGACTATGGCAACTTTTGCTAGTCAAAACTACATACCGGACTAGTTCATGATGGGTTTCCTAACCTCTTTTATTGAGGACCAAAGAGAGGTTCACGACACTTGGATGTAATTTTTTTAAACCCTCCATTTTTTCGACCTGTTAGCTGGGATTTTTTAACAAGGGAAAAAACTTCATCATAGGACAAAGCTAAAGGTACACGAACCATTGATGACATGTGTTGCGGTTAGAATATGATATCAAATTATTAATTAATTTGAATCGCATCTTTAGTTCACAACCGCTCTTTGATTTATCCGAAGGAAAAGGTCAAAAGAGGAAAACCTAATTTTGCATCGTAAAGACAATGCGGGGAGAGATCTAGGTAAGGGGTTGGTTAAGCTTAGGGAAGGTACTAGCACCCTAAACTTCTGTAGTACTCTACAGGAACCTTTTGTTTATTGTATGCTTTTTTTTATATTTTATTATCTGTTTTAATATATATTGAGGTAAGGGATAGAGTGACCTAAAGACCTAAGGGTTAGTCTTAAGTTTACTCGGCAAGACGTCGCATCTTGTGCCTACATATCCTGACGGGAATGGAATCAGAGTAATTGTAGTTCCCCTCGAAAGGGAGGTTAGAAACGTCTTGACTGTGGTCAAGGTTTCAATGGGGAATAAACGTATCTCAAGGACACGCTTATGTGGAGTCTTTGAAACTCCTATTTCTACGTTGAATTTGTTAATTAAAAATTTAGGGTTGAAATTAGGGATTCCACGGCGGGAAACCCTAAAACAAAGTACGGCGACTCTGTGACCTAAAACTAGGGTAAAGGGTATTTTTGTCCACGGCGGGACGCCTAGGTTAATTAGGGTTTGAGACGGCTAAAACTAGGGTTATTGACTCGGCGGTCAAACAACTAGACCTAATTCCTTCGGAGGGAATTTTAACGGTAAAACATGCAAACATGACAAAATATTATACGGCAAAATTAAAGTGCGGAAAGTAAAGAAAGCGTCGCGACGATCACTCGCGTAAATTACAAATCCCAAAAAAACAAAAACAAAATAAATCGCGACCATGGCCTCGCGTAAATTACATCCATGGAACAAAATAAATTAAAATAAATATGAATCATAATCTATGTATAATCTGAGGAGAGAAACAGAGAACGTTAGTGAAAAGTTAGACGAAAATATGGCAAACATATTTTATATTAAAAGAAACACGAAAATGCAATTTGGAATTTTTATTATTGTTTTGTTAATTTTTATATTTTTTTTATTAAAATTTTAGTCTTAATTTTAAAAGGTTTTAATTTTTAAATAAACAAAACTTTAGTTTTAACCTTTTATCTTTAGAAAGTTTTAATTTTAATTTTAATTTTTAAAAGAGAAAGTCTTAAATTAAAAAAAAACTCTAATCATAAGTTTTTTTTTAAAAGAAGAAGTTTCTCTTTTAAAAATTAAAATTAAAATTAAAACTTTCTAAAGATAAAAGGTTAAAACTAAAGTTTTGTTTATTTAAAAATTAAAACCTTTTAAAATTAAGACTAAAATTTTAATAAAAAAAATATAAAAATTAACAAAACAATAATAAAAATTCCAAATTGCATTTTCGTGTTTCTTTTAATATAAAATATGTTTGCCATATTTTCGTCTAACTTTTCACTAACGTTCTCTGTTTCTCTCCTCAGATTATACATAGATTATGATTCATATTTATTTTAATTTATTTTGTTCCATGGATGTAATTTACGCGAGGCCATGGTCGCGATTTATTTTGTTTTTGTTTTTTTGGGATTTGTAATTTACGCGAGTGATCGTCGCGACGCTTTCTTTACTTTCCGCACTTTAATTTTGCCGTATAATATTTTGTCATGTTTGCATGTTTTACCGTTAGAATTCCCTCCGAAGGAATTAGGTCTAATTGTTTGACCGCCGAGTCAATAACCCTAGTTTTAGCCGTCTCAAACCCTAATTAACCTAGGCGTCCCGCCGTGGACAAAAATACCCTTTACCCTAGTTTTAGGTCAAAGAGTCGCCGTACTTTGTTTTAGGGTTTCCCGCCGTGGAATCCCTAATTTCAACCCTAAATTTTTAATTAACAAATTCAACGTAGAAATAGGAGTTTCAAAGACTCCACATAAGCGTGTCCTTAAGATACGTTTATTCCCCATTGAAACCTTGACCACAGTCAAGACGTTTCTAACCTCCCTTTCGAGGGGAACTACAATCACTCTGATTCCATTCCCGTCAGGATATGTAGGCACAAGATGCGACGTCTTGCCGAGTAAACTTAGGACTAACCCTTAGGTCTTTAGGTCACTCTATCCCTTACCTCAATATATATTAAAACAGATAATAAAATATAAAAAAAAAGCATACAATAAACAAAAGGTTCCTGTAG